GGGCTGGGGGCGACCGGGCGGCGGTTTTACCTCCATTTTGAGACCGGACTCGCCTCTTCCAACTCCTCTTCCTTTCATTCTTAGTACCTGTTAGGTTTGCAAAGTATTGGAGATCAGTACATTTCATATATACTTTCATCCTGTGCATCTCCTGTTTTTCTCCCTGCACACTTTTCAGATCATAGAGCCATAGGATAACATGACTTTTTATTTTTTTATTTTATTTTATTTTTTTGCAGAACCGGGGATTGAACTCAGACCCTTGTGCTTGCCAGGGAAGCGCTTATTCCACTGAGCCATCTCCCCGGCCCCAAAATAGCTCTTTAACAACTTTTTAAATCTAATTCCACAGTTCTTAGACATTCTTGAAGAGAAAGTGTAATTATTGTCATTATCTTTCCAAATTATTGTACATCATTTTTGCTTAGTTGTTCAAATAAGACTATCTGCAAAACCAGGCTGAAGTTTCTAATGCTGCGTAAATAGTATCAGAGAAGGAAGGAATCTGTGCCCTAAAGAGTAAGTTGAGATAAAAGCCTTTTCTTTGATCCTCAGAGTAATTTGAGATACTTACCTGCTTTATTTTTTCACTTGTTGTTTGAGTTATACGCCCCTTCTATGACCCATGCTTTAGTGACTTTGTAAAACCCGCGCTCCACCGGCAGAAGCTTATTTCCTGTTCCACTGTCGCTTTAGCACCGAATTCCTGTGCAGACTCAAACTTCTTGTGTGATGAGTGCAAATGGGTGGAGAATAAGTGTTTGATGACCAAGATATGGTATAAACACTTGGAAAATGCAGCCTCATGTGCACCTTTAGTGAGAAGGGTTGAGATGTTTCCTGTCATGACTCTCCCTCTTCTTCCATGTCTGACGGTGTAGGAGGCGGTGACCTTCGAGGACGTGGCTGTGAACTTCTCCCGGGAGGAGTGGGCGCTGCTGGATCCGCCCCAGAGGAAGCTCTACGGAGACGTGATGTGGGAGACCCTGAGGCACCTGGCCGCCGTAGGTGAGGAGCGTCCCGGCTTCTCATTGGTGCACTCAGAGAGCGTTGGATATGCTCATTAGTGGTAGGAAACTACAATGCATCTTCCAGGCATGATCACATCTTACTGTGAATCAAACTGAATCTCCGGATTTTGACATAGTGTAGTGAGTCATCACTGCCTTTCTGTTTCTACACTGTAGGAAGGAACTCAGAAGACCGACAGATTGAAGATGAGTGCAGAAATTCCAGGAACTGTCTCAGGTAACTGCAGAAGGCTCCTCAGCTGTCAGAACATGAAACCCAAGCATGTTACACAAATGAGACCATGTTCAAACTTCTTTCTTCTCATACAATTTCTCAACAGACACTGAATATGTGTAATCTGACAGTTGAGCATTTGAAATATTGGAATATTCCAAATGCTCGTGGTACTCATAATACAGCAAAACTGGCATCATTAAGGTGATGTAAAAGAAGAAACGCCTGCACAAGCTGGTGCCTGCCTTTAATCCCAGCACTCAGGAGGCTGAGGTAGGAAAATCGCCACAAATTCTAGGCCAGACTGGACCACAGTAAGTTCAAAGCCAGCCCCAACTATGGAGTGAGACCTTGTCTGAAAATTTTAAAAATAGTACAAATTTTGTTCAATTCTCAGATATATAGACATGTCGAATTTAATTGTGTTGAGGCATTAAGGATAGGAGGATATAATAGATTTTGTGTATACACTAAGCTAGTAATATATGCATTTTAAAAAAAATGTATTTAGGGGCTGGAGAGATGGCTCAGTGGTCTAAAGCACCTACTTAGAACAAGCTTAGCAAAGCATCAGGGACCACGGCTCAATCCCCCAGCACCACATGCCA